AAAAGTCCCATAGCACTGCGGCCTAATTAGGCCTATTGTGCGTCCCACTACTAGTCCTATTCAGCAAGTAGATTTGTCCTTTTTACAAAGTCCAAAAGCTTCCTTGCTGACACTTCTCTCAGTTCCTTGGGTTCCGAATAGGGTCTCCCAAGGAGCGCCATTCTGCTACGAGCAAATCCCGGGCACTCGCCCAGGATATGCAGAGAAGTTTCATCCGCCGATTCACATCCTCGACAGATCGGACTGTCTACAAGCTTTAGTTTATGTAGAGAAAAGTGTTACTACATCAATAGCGATATCAGTATAAGTTATAGTAGCCAAATATTTATCCACTTGCGAAAGAAACGGATCAGGGCAAATAGTGGAGATGATCATAGAGAAACACCTTTTGTTTTTCGTTAATTAAAAGTATTCCATTCGTTATTATGCTCATAAATCGCACTGCCTATATAATGTATGGATAATGATTAGTATGGATTAGCGCGAAAAATGTAACATCTTTGAAGGGCGAAATTGTTGAGGTTAGACTTCCTACATTAACCATACTTTTGCACATGTTCAGTAGGCGGTGTGACTCTTATTATATATGATCATCACAAAACATATAATCATGATCATAGTAGTATAGGACTACTATATATGTAGTGATATCCCGGCATAGGCAATTTGGTTGAACTGTTTAAAGTAGTAACAGCAGCACATTTACGATCATTAGTGTTTTCCATTCATGTACCAGATTCGTGTGAACTAATCTGACATTGACTGACCTAAAATAGATTTATGGCGTCATTAATTTATGAAAATTTATTTGCGATTGCTTATAAGAATTGCTTTCATCAAAGTGCGCCTCACACAGAATATTAATTTCACCACATCAAAAAGTTATTGTAAATAGAAATACTTTAATATGTTTTCATTTTTATCAACTCAAATTTATTAATTCCATGTTTACACCACGTGTATGAAAAGAAGTTACTTTAAACTAGTCATTTAGTAAATAAAATTGCTTGATAGCTTTGTATTAATAAATACATTATGGCTTTACTTTATATACTGTGAAGTGAAAGTGTAATCTTTTGTCTCTATACATTCGACATTTTGGCAATGTAAAGTCTAGAAGTTTAGAACTAGTCCAATTTACTCGTACCAGCAGCTTCAAATTTAAGTTAGGGTATTTTTTTGTTATATTGTTTTATCAAGTTTGGGCCCCTGTTAATTCTGAGTCTTTAAAATTCAAATGTTTGTTTTGTTGATAATTAAATGTAAGGTTAAATTAAATAGAAAGTCTACGAGAAGGCAGTGTTTTTGTGTATTTAAAACATTCTTAAAAAATGTTTCATTGCGTTTTCGTAAATACAGTGTTTTTTATTTTATTAAAAAGTGTTCTTAATTTAAAAGAATCACAAACACTTGGGTGGTTATTTTTTTCTATGCATCTCTGAGAAACTAGTAAGTATATTAAACCTTTTAACTTTATATTTACGGAAATGTTGTTAAATAATATGTATTATTCACTAAGGTTGAATTAAAACTTTTAGAGGAATTTTGGTAAAAGTGGAATTCCTTGTTTTCATTCAAATGTGTGTATTAAATATTTCTTATTTTTTATTAAAACTGATAATCAACAAATCAATAAAAATGTAACAAAATGGTAGATGGACAATAATTATTTCAGATTCAAATCGAGATCGCTTTAATTTTTCGCAAAGCTTACAAACTAAATCTTAATATATCAATAGCTACCCTAAAAACAACGATTGCTTAGAAAAATTATATGTATATATGTTGTAATACTATGATTATTCATTATATTACATGAATGAGTTTTTTGAAATGTAGATACAATGTTCCGAACACATTTAATTTAAGTGTACATGTACCTGTATCTACACGATCATATTTGTTTAAATTAGATGCAAAATATAAAAAAGCATGTATACAGTCATGTGCAAAATGTATCATCTTTTTGTGTTTTCATTAATGAGTTAGCTCCTTTTCCACTCATTTAATCAATATAGTCGAAATTTTAAATATTGATGACTGTAAATATATTTATTTATGTATTAAATTAACTTACATTCATAATACACTGTTTGATGGATTCAAAGATATAGGTAAGTCTGCATTTTTAATTATGGAACGGCATTCATAATATATTAGTATATTAATTTATCGAATAATAACAAAATCTAACAAATTGCATACAGCTTATTGTTAAAACAGTGTCAAAGCTATTTAACAATAACATTGTATGCCTAGCACACTATAAAACAGACTTGAGTACCACCAAACATATTTATTTATATTATAAATTCATTTATTAACCTACAATAACGAAATTAATTTAGTACTGGAAAAACAATTGTGACTAAACATAAAAAAGCTGTGGAGCTTTAAATTAGTTTGTATATAGCGATTGCCTGTATAAATATATTTATCACTTTGCGTCTCGGTAAATGGACAACATTTCATTGGCATTGTTTCTTTATAGAAAAATCTATAAAATAAGGCAACAATGTTCCTCAGATATTCAGTTTTATTTATAACAAACACTTAATTAAATCTAAATCACTTAACGATAACAACCATGTTCTTATTGCCTTAAATATTTTTTTTATATATATATATTATATAGTATAGATTTACTGTTTTCTTAAAACGGCACGGCACGTGTTATTAAGAGAAAATCTGAGCAGACATAGTAATTGAACCTGGAATTATTTTCAGGTTTTTGAAACCCCTCTTGTTAAGTGTACTGTCTGGGAATGGCAGTATAATTAAAAGAGGGTGTTATAAACAATGTTAACTGAGTATATCGAAACTTGCCAATCACACATTGTCCACACCTGTAATATTTATATAAAATTTTAACAATAATATACTAATTAATTAATATAACGAAATAATATAACAGCGTGATAACGCAGAACTACAACACAGTTGCTTGTATTTCTCGTTACTTCCAAATTTATTCTGAATAAATTTTTTCTTTGGTATGAGTGACATTTTTGTGAGTTCGCTTAAACTTATGGTCATCACAAAAACTAGTTTAAATGGTCCAGCCATAATAAAAAATGTTGTTGTGTCACTTCAAGTGTTTAATATACAAAGTTGTGTTATCTATAATAAATTTGTGCCATCATGATCAAAATGCAAAAGGGTATGAATTAATTTATTTTCTAATAAACTAAGTTAATATAGAAGCACATATTTTAAAAACAGTTGCAGCATGTGCTACATATTGCTAGGGAAAACGTGTAGATAAAAATGTCACACATACTAAATGTTAGTTATTATTGTATGAGGCATACAAAAATTTTGTGAACTTTTTGCAAATTTTTCCCATTCGCCCCTCCCCCATTAGCGGTCCATGTAGCATGTGAAGATAGCTTGAATATTAGCAATTGAAGAAAGCACCATTATAAATATAACTTGTCGTGATTTTAAAATAGTCCACTTTTAATATTATTAGTTATTGTTCATTGATTTGGGCCATTTTTAGAATATCAATACAAAATTCTTAAAAAATGCACTTTTTTGATTATCCCCACGATTTGTGCATTTTGTGTCTTATAAAGTAAAATAAATAGGAAACAGTTGTAGGTCAAAAATATGCACTTTTATGAATTATGTTGGCAACCTGAGTCACCTACCTTAAAACCAGTAACATATACTGATGCTTGCTAAAACGATAATTTGGGAGCACCTTGGGAAATGTTGCTCTCAACTTAGAATTTACTTCTGTCACACTAATATTTGTACATTGTATTGCTAAAGGCTTGATTTTAAGGCCGATTGACTCAGGTACTATCTAAGTTCAGTTCGCATCGCTTGCTTTCCAAGCATTGCAAACTGAACATATTCTAATCTTGGTTGTCAGTTCAACAACAATTAATTAGATATAGGGTATTCCTATGGTGGTTTTTTATTTTATAAAGAATTTTACGGTTCCTATTAATTTCAGTGTTTAAATTAAACTAAATTTCTTTAATGGAACTTATAGACTAATTGTGAAACTCAAGGCATTGGCGAGTGTTTAAACATCTCAAATTAATAGGATGTACAGATTAAAAGAAATGAAATACATTTAAATCAACTGGCTTCCTATGTTTTTTATACACTATTAAATACCTCTTAGTGAATTATTGGATTGAACCAGTGCTGGGACACTGGTTCAGACACTAACAATTTACAAAATGTATTTAATAATGTACAATTACATAATTACTGATCATACGACTATTATATTGTACCGAATATATTTGTCTATTGATACAGCAGTTAGTATATTAACCAATAGTCAATAGCGATATGAGCAGCAAAGCAGTTGACACTTGGGAAACGATACCTTCTCCATCAAACTACACTGCACAAACTTCATCACGTAAAGATTTATCTCGGACATATTCAGATTATCAACTCAAGAGAACTCTAAACACAATTTGGGTTATATGTTTGGATTTCGATGTATATGTGCATGTAACGGAACAACACGAATTCTGCCGAGATAAAATAACGTGTCGTGGCCATCTAGCATAGCGTTCTGGCTATGGCGAGGTTGGGGAGGGGCGAGGCCGGTCTCATACGTCCGCAGAACGTGAGCTGATGCTGGGTGTACGGCTATGTATCACTACCTTGTGCCCATTTCTTTCCACTAAGACTGCTGTTTGTCTTGCCTCTGGCTCGCCCTCGCCATCCACCTCCCCCTCATCGGATTGGTCAGTGGCTCCACCACGGTTTCGCTTATGCTTGCGCCACGCATTCTGGATTAGACGAGCGCAATACTCCTCCCGTTGCCTCCAAAGAGTGGAACTGACTGGTTCGTAACCAGCCTCATTTGGTCGCCCTTGGACTTCTGCTAGTTCAGCAGTTTCTTCAATGGCGTTACCCTTGCGGGCAAAGAAGTCTTTGGTTAGAGCATCTAGAATATCTACACAGAACATGAGGTCACCCTTGCAAATTGGAATGTCCATCGAAACTATTTTGTATTTGTTTGGTTTGTGTATCTGTAAAGGTGGTTCCAGTACATCAAGAAAATCTGATAACTGGTCGTAGCGTATGTACTGGGTGCCGTCTGGGTCAAATTGTTGCCATATCTCATAATACATATCGTAGTCGTCATCAGTAAGGCCTTCCTGTACGTCTTCGGTTGCTTGGGAATAGTTTTCTAAGATAACGGCAATGTACATGTTTATGACAATGAGAAATGATATGACGAGGTAGCTCAACAGAAAGGCTATGCCTATTGTGGAATTTCCGCAGTTGCCCGTCTCTCCAATCTCGTTGTCTGGCTGCTTGCAATCTTCCTCGTTGATAATACCGTCCAACACGCCATCCCACCCAGCTGATGTTGACATCTAAAATTATTTTTCAATTAATAAACATACTCTAGTGAATTACATTTTTATTTTTTTTTACGAACGTGTTTTCAAACTACAAAATTTATAAACTTTCACCGCATTAAAGAACAGGATATTATTGTGTACTCAAATTAAATATTGACATAGGTAGTTTCTCAGTATAACTCATAATTCAACCAGAATAATGAACACGAAATCACATTACTTATTAATAATTGAAAGTAGCACAAAAACACCTTTTCTGTGATGTTACAGACTCCAATCATCATAGAATCTATGCAAGACCAGAAATCTATTATCTACAAACGTATGCCCAAGCATATACTGCTGCACATTTTGCAGATTTTACCTGTTTTATAAATTTTTTGAGTCCAAAAGTATAAAGTTATTAATTATCTTTTTACATATTCAACGGAGAATTTAAATTTTTCAACAATCGACATTTTTATAATTTTTTTTGGTCTAATTAGAGAATATTCACTTAAATTAAAAATATCTTGAACTTATTTCTAAGTAGTAAAAACCCCATTACAAAAAAATTCATGCATTTTGAAGATATTTCAATTTTCTTGTCTGCCATATTGGATTCGTGATCAGCGACCCAAAAAACTCTTCATATGTAAGATTCATAGGAATTGAATGTCTTTCGCATCTTTAAGCTCTTTAAAGATTCCTCTAATAAGCGATGGTTTCCCCGGCATTTAGGGGGTGGAGGGGGGAAAGGAGGGTGAGGGGTTGGTCCATTTAGGGTGGAAACGATTCAGTATTGCTAGTAGGTACAAGAAAAAATTTTTTCATCCAAAAATAAATTAGGCCAAAAACCGGTCTTAGGGGCCCTCCTTCTTTGGAGTAATGTTTTTATAGCTATGAAATGCAATTCTTTAGAAGAAATGGATTTATAGTGACTAATTAAAATAATTGAACAAAGTTAATATTTCATAGTTACCTGAAATAGAAGTATCATGGATTGTCCGAAGGTCTTGAAGTTGTAGACGTCGTCTAGGCCACTCTTGTCTTTGACGTGCATGAAGAACGACATCCCAAATATGGCAAAGATAAACATTACCAAAAACAGTAGTAAACAGATGTTGAAAAGCGCAGGCAGTGACATGGCTAGTGCGAAAAGCAATGTGCGTATGCCTTTGGCTCCTTTTACCAAACGTAGAACTCTACCCACTTTAGCTACACGTACGACCCTCAGTAATGTCGGTGACACGAAATATTTCTCTATAATATCACTGAGCACCAGTCCCAAAATAGATAATATAACAACAACTAGATCGAATAAGTTCCACGGTTCTGTAAAATAGTGATAACGCAAAGCAAACACTTTCATGAGGCACTCGGTACTGAATATAACTATGAAAATCATATTGAGGTAGTCCAAAACTTTCGTGAATGTTTCCTTTTGCTGATAATGGTCCATCGTCATCGTCAACATGTTCAGACCTATGAACAACATGATGATCATGTCGAACTTCTTATTCGTCACTATCTCAAATACTATTGCTTGAGGCCTCCACTGTGAAAAAAAACAATGAATACTTCAATACGTGCATATCATAAATAAAACTTATTTTGTAATTATTTTTGTTGTGTGTCTTACCCTCGGTCTGGGAATAGCTTTCATTGGCTTTTTGGAACCCATTTTCTTCATGGCATTGTAGTATTTCTTCTGGTCTTCAGTCATGAACATCTCGAGTGATCCTCCTGCGTATATACAACATATCTTATTATTTATTTATTTTTTTCTCAAGCAGAATGAAACTATATTTCTAACCAATAGTAGTAATATAACAAAATAAATAAAACTTTTAAGTATTGTTTACAGTAGAAATCTTGAACTAATTCAGGCATGGGATAGAAGCGTAATACAATTTATCTATTTGATGATTGTAGATAAGTTCATGCTGTACTTACGCCTGATACTTGAATTACTTATAGATTTTTAACACGAATATGGCTTTCAATAATAGTAGTATTGGCAAAAGGAAAAACAATCTAACATATTTATTGTTACCAACCTAATCTAACCTAACTTAACCTAACCTAACAAATTCGGAGTTACCAATTTTGTCGTCATTTGATGGAGAATAATTTTATAGCTACTGTAACTTATATTACTTTGAAAAATGAGATACTTATCTTCTTTTTCTGTTCATTAAAGTTGTCGATGATTACTCCAATAAACAGGTTGAGGGTGAAGAATGATCCAAAAATAATAAAGAATACGAAATACAGATACATGTAGATGTTGGTTTCTCTAATGGGTTGCTTATTTGTCTAGGGCAAAGGAACGTAATGAGTAATATAAAGGGTGTTTTGTTGTAACCTTACCTCTCTTGAATCTATAGCATCGTTCATGATTTGGATCCATCCTTTGAATGTGGCTACTTGGAATAAGCAGAGATATGCTTTTCCGACGTGGTCGAAGTTCATTCGAGAGTTGTCCCAGGTATAATTCTCTGCTTTGCAGGCATTGTAGTCTGGGATAATTTCGTAACTTAGTGTCGTTTTATTGTTATCTACACACTGAAAATTAAAAATAATGATGAGTTTCAGTTCGGATAAAGTTTGCATGTTTTGTTACCTTATAATATTTGCCTGCAAATAACTGTACGCCCATAATAGCGAAAATCAACCAAAATATTAAGCACACTAGCAATACATTGAAGATAGATGGTATAGCTTGTACCAATGCGTTTACTACAACCTACAAAGAAAATCAATTTAGTTGTCTCTTATAAAGTATGTTAAGAAAGTCTTACTCTCATGCCCTGCATCCGAGACATTGCACGTAGTGGTCTCAAAGCTCGCAACGTTCTCATCGTCTTAAATGCTTGGATTCCTCCCGCCCCACACAAAGACGCCACGAAATTGATCAAAGACACCATTACGATTATGAAATCTAACCAGCACCATGCATTTGTGAAATATTTTTGGAACCCTAACGCTAACCATTTTATCAACATTTCAAAGAAAAATATTACTGTAAATATTCTATCCATATAGTACAAAATATCTTGCAATATTGGTCTCTGCGACAGATGAACATCCTCTAAGGCCAATGCCAAACTGCTCAGTAAAATCATTGTAATAACGGCTGTTTCAAAGTACTTGTTTTCTATCAGGCGAAAAGTTTTATATCTTAGATTCGCCCAGCCTTGCCAGAATGGTGAGTCATCGTCGCCTGCTAAGAAGGGGAATTTTTTGTAGCATTTTTCTGGGAAACAATCGGCAGAGTATTCGTCGATAATAACATCATCTGTGGCTGCGTCTAATATCAGATCTTCGTCCAGTGGTCCTTGGCAATCACATTCATCTTCATCTAGTTCTAAAACAAATGAAGAAAATTAGAATAAATAATCACTGTATCAATTTTATCTGCTACCTTCATCTATACCGAGTTCTTCTTTACTCGCATCACGTTTTTCTTCATGTTCATCTAAAACATCAGCGCTACCCTTGTGGCTTTCGTCTTTGAACCTGTGTTTGTGGCTTCCGTACGATTTGTTACTAATTTCATCATCCTCTAAATGTCCAAGAAATTCACCGTGATCTAAAATCGAGTTTCCTATTGTTTTACTTTTATTGATATTGTTAATGTTTTTGCCCCTCTTCAAGTTTGTTTTTGAATCACCGTGAATAGTGAATTCCATACCATCACCTATTGTTACTTCCAATCTGTCTTTGGGGCTCTTTTTATCTTTGAATATTATTCCGTCGGCTAATATTTCATCACCTGGTATATCGAGTCCTCCATCTCGAGTGTCTAAAAATGTCTGCGGTCACATCTCGTTCAGTAAGCAAAATTCTGGTTTTAATAATATTAGAGGTAGGAACAGTTGGAATAAACATTAAATTACGTGTTAGCTGGATTTGGTTTAGTTTTTAAAAACAAACATGCATTCTGAACAAAAGAGACTATAAACAAAATTAAGAAGTAAAATATGTATGTTAGATCTTGCAGCTTATTCAAAGTCCAATTAAGTACAACTTTGACATTATGAAAATATTTCAGATGTTGTTAAATTTGAATTAATCAAAGGGTTTCAGTAATTTGAAAATTATGCCGTCAATTTGTAAATATTTGTTATTATTCGGTCCTGTACTTTTACTTTACTTTAAAGCTAATTCAAGATAATTCTAAAGATTTTTTCCTGAGAACCCTCATCAAATAAATTCACATATTCTTTTTAATGCCAGATATCTAAGTACTTTGAAGAAATAACGACCTATAAACAATTTAGCAATTAATAATTGATTAATCTAAATTAAAAATAAAAAATAGTTTACTGAAATATTACTAATGAACATATGTGATGTAGAGAAACGTCTTTTATTCTTGTTTATCATGATATATAAGTTGACCTATTTTCTCATGCCCTCATAAAAGTTTTGTATTTTATATACAGGGTGTTTTTAAATGAATGATCCAAAATGGTACCAGTGAATGTAGAGCCAAAGAGCTAAGAGGATTGAAGTAAAAATACCTTACATGAAAGTTGCACCCTCTTAAAGGAGGAGATTGAAATTCACATTTTAATTTTTCTCTTTAACATGAGGAATGCTAGAGACATGAAACTTGGTATGAGCATCGTACTAATAAAGAGACAACTTTTCAGTATTTGTTCGATCATTGGCATATTTTATAAAGGAGTGAAACAGTCAACCCCATTGTAATATTTTATTAGAAATTTTTTATATGAAGCAAATTATTTATTTAAAAATATTTATTGGGAAGACTGATTTATTGCGCAACTTTTTTACCACTTGTAATTTTCCAATAAAACCGATAGTTTTCTAGTAAAAAAATTAGATGCGTCATCGTTCACTGAAGGGTTAATTGCGAAAATTTGTAAAAATAAAGTAGGCAGATGTCATAACAAATAAATTGTTATTTATCAAAGTAATAAATTGACACTTTCTGTCAACCAATAATTAGTACCAATTGATTAATTTATTATGAGAATATTTATGGCAAATAATATTTATACCAATGACGAATATGTCGACATGCTTCAAGTGTTTTTCGAATCCAGAAAAAATAGTAACGCTGCAGTAAGATTATACCACTAAGGATATCCAAACCGACCGATTCCTCATAGACAAACATTGGCCTCGGTGGAAAGAAGGCTTCACGAAACTGGTAAAATTCAACCCAATCGTGAGGGTGCCGGAAGAAGGCGTAATGTCCGAACTGTTGAAACTGAGGAAGCTATACTGGAACATCTAGAACAAGAGTGTGGTACAAGCACAAGACAGGTGTCCAGGCAACTGCAAGTTTCTCACAGTCTTGTGTGGAATGTAGCTCATGAAAATCTTTTATACCCTTTTCACCATCAACCCGTGCAAGAATTGAATGACCCTGATTTACCTAACCGCGTGGATTTTTGTCAATGGTACATTAATATTTCCAGGCATGACTTAAATTTCCTAATGAATATACTTTTCACCGATGAAGCAAATTTTCCTAGAGTAGGTGCAGTAAACCTTCATAATGTTCATTCATGGTCGGAAGAAAATACTCATGAAATATTTGTTTCAAGATGTCAACATAATTTCAGTTTAAACGTTTGGATGGGAATTGTAGGAAATACTCTAGTAGGTCCTTTTATTCTTCCACACAGGCTTGGAGCGGCCGAGTATCTTAGATTTTTGAACGAAAATCTTCCAACATTACTTGAGGATGTACCCCTCGCTACACGTCAGGTGATGTGGTATATGCACGATGGGGCGCCTGCACATAGTACACTTGCCGTTAGAGAATGGTTAAATTTAAATTACCCGAATCGCTGGATTGGTCGTGGTCGTGATGCCCCTGTTTGTTGGCCTGCACGTTCACCTGACCTAACGCCTATGGATTTCTTTTTGTGGGGACACATAAAAAGTATTGTTTATGCCACTCCTGTTGCCTCCTTAGAAGAACTACGCTTAAGAATATTTCAGGCAGCAGATGACCTTCGCAATAACCAAGAACTGTTTGTGCGAGTGCGTTATAACTTCAACAGACGTATTAGGTTATGCTTGCAGCAAAATGGAAATTATTTCGAGAATATTCTTTAAATTTAATTTTGCATTTCTTGTTTTTCGTTTGTATTAAATTTTATTTCAGATAAATAACTTTACCTAATACATGTCCCATAGTCATAAGTTATCAAACATTTTTCATTAATTAATAGCAAATTATTCTTAATGTTATTATTAAATTACCAGCTTATTGACAGAAAGTGTCAATTTATTAATATGATAAATAACAATTTATTTGTTATGACATCCGCCTACTTTATTTTTACAAATTTTCGCAATTACCCCTTTAGTGAACGATGACGCATCTAATTTTTTTACTAGAAAACTATCGGTTTTATCGAAAAATTACAAGAGGTAAAAAAGTTGCGCAATAAATCAGTCTTCCCAATAAATATTTTTAAATAAATAATTTGCTTCATATAAAAAATTTCTAATAAAATATTGCAATGGGGTTGACTGTTTCACTCCTTTATAAAATACGCCAATGATCGAACAAATATTGAAAAGTTGTCTCTTTATTAGTAGGATGCTCATACCAAGTTTCGTGTCTCTAGCATTCCTCATGTTAAAGAAAAAAATTAAAATGTGAATTTCAATCCCCTCCTTTAAGAGGGTATATCGCCTCAGGGGTGCAACTTTCATATAAGGTATTTTTACTTCAATCCTCTTATTTTTGGCTCTACATTCACTGGTACCATTTTTGCTACTTCATTTAAAAACACCCTGTATACTTAATTCAATTCTATTAATATTCAGATATTGTATTTGTTACTATTTTTTCAAAGCACTGTGTTTAGTTTTTAGGTCAATGATCTCTGATACTCTGACCTAGTTTAGATAAACTACATAATATCACTGATGTGATATGACAACAGGGCACTAAGCGGGTAAAAAATAAATGGCCAATATATATTAATTTGGCTCTTTTCATTTTACTACATTTATTTTAGTTTTCTGTTTATCGGTTTATGAAAAGGTGTTTCGTTTTTACTGAATCGAAATAATTTAATTTTATAGTAAAATTCAATGTGGTATTTATTCAAGCATCTTATGTAGTGCATAAGTGCATAACCTTATAAAGTTATTTATTTCAGTGTTTATTTAGTGATGGTACCCCGTGTCTGTGTCTTCATTGTTAAATTTCTATATGAACGAATTTGAGAAAACAAACTTTGTTTCTAAAGATCCAAGAATCCATATAAAAATGAAATTCAGAGTTATAGTATGGTTTTATTTGATATTTTTAGATAAAATGTTTAGAATTAATCTGAATTAGCTTAATACCTATAAAGTAAAGTAAATGTTTAATTTTTGTATGCATTGCAGAAATATTCATAATTACTATTCATGTGGAGCCTAAAAAGTTAGTATAATTTGGTTACCTGTAAAAATACAGACTGGAAAATGTTACTTTCATTAAGGATGTTGATATTATTTTAAACAATGTGATATTTTACTTTTCTGAAAAACAATTTTGTATTTTAAGTATTTACAATTACTTTAGTTGAAAACACCCCATCTGCATATATTGGCAGAATTGTAACATATAGAAGAAAAATTAAATCAAAAATGAAAAAATAGTGTAGCATTTTTATATCAGCTACAGTCATATATTTGTACATGCTATAAGATGGTGTTAACAGTTAGCAAATGGTCTTCACAAAGAATTTTTCATTTAATTGTTTTTATCCATTATTTATTGTAACGAACAAGTTCAATTTATTTTATATTTTTTGCAAGTTAATACCAACAATGAAAAGGTTGTTAACTTTTTTAATGATGTCAATATTTTTTCAGTGATAACAGCTTTATTAAGTGAAAAATTCATTGGCGAGACCATAGTGTGTAACGACACATCTAATACTAGTAATTTAGTTACAAAGACAGCTGTTTATGTTTTTACCGACATTGTAGTATTTTACATGCTGAACAAGTACTTCTTTTAAGTAAGCACTACAATGGAGCAGCAAGCACAAAACCAGCGAGCTATCAGATTGTTGGATAAAAACCTTGGTTCCAACTGTTGGAGGGTCCCTCACCTGACGGCTGGTCGGAAATTTGGTTCGTTAATTTAAACCGAATCAGTTTTGCGATATGTGAAACACTAGCCTTTATCCATTTTATAAAACGACCAATTCTGTCGAAGGCTTCCGCTATTTTGTTTGTGTCGTTGTCAGCTGTCGGAGCCGAGAGACTTGATGAACCAAAGTTGCTCAAAAGCAAGGCCAAGAAAAGGTTAAGTACCTAAAAATAATTCCAGATTTACAAATACAGCAAAATTTGTTTTTTTAACAGATGAAATTGAATTGTTTCCATACCACAAGATTGCCAATGACGACGGTTGCTAGGAAAAAAGGGATACAAGACACATCACCAACTAACATACAATCCCACATAGATTCTATCCATTCTCCACATAATACTCTGAACACTATCATAAAGGAATGCATAACGTCTGTAAAGTTCCACCTTGGAAGATCGTGGTCAGGGAATCTATCGACATTATCTAAAAAATTAATACAATTACTGTGAGCTGCCACCAGTACGAGTAATGCTACATACCTGTATAGTTCTTTCCAAACAGTTGCATACCCATAACAGCAAATATAAATATTATAATGCACAGCACGAATGTTAGGTTACCTAAAGCACCCATAGTTCTACCCATAATGGAGATAAGTAAATTTAAAGTCGGCCATGACTTGGCCAGTTTGAACACTCTTAGCTAAAAGACAGTTGAAGTTAAATTCTCAAAAGAACTAAAGGAACTAAAGGAAATAGTTTACCAGTCGGAGAGATCTTAATACGGATAAACCTTGGACTCCCTCTAGCCCCAGCTCTACCAGTGATAAGGTTACAATTATGAAATCGAATATGTTCCAACCCTCCTGGAAATAATACTTTGGACTCATCGCCACCAGTTTCATCGTCGCCTCAATCATGAATGTTGCGGTGAAAAACTGAAAATATAAGCTAGGTAATAAGTAAGTTTTAGAGAGACGTATATTTGCTTACATAGTTGCCACTCTTTAGAGCTTTTTCTAAGTCGTGGTCCATTTTGTGGTGATCCAAAGCCATAAATAGGGTGTTCACAACAATGCAGAGGGTAATAAACAGTTCAACGAACGGATCAAATACTATGAGAGCCACAAACTTCTGGAAAGCGAGCCAAGGACTGCAACAGTCCCACACGCAAAAAATATCTATCATTCTCATAGTAAATTCTAATAAACGTTCTTTCGCTGTTGGTTCATCCTCTTCGTCATCATTTTGTGCTGAGAATAAATAAACAGAAACTGTACGAAGCATTAGTAAAAGTGAAGTTGACACACTCTTTTTTGGGGAAAGAGGTTTTGTGCAAATGCGATAGTGCGACTGCTGTTCTTAACCGCTGGTTAAGTTTGTCACTTGGTGTATATTTGTCGCTCTTCAAGCAAGCTACATTTACTGACTCTCACAAAAGGCAAATTGTCAGTCCTAACACATTTAAAGTATGATGGGTTTTCAGGTTGTTATGCCATGGCCTATGCATCCGTTTGCCTCCAGTTAAAGAATTACATTGCACTTCCATAGCCTTAGCTAGGAATTTGTGGGGGTGGACTTTCTATCCCCTAAACTCACTCTGCTGTACGTTTCAGTTTTTATTGTTGCTGCTCCTTGCTGCTGGTCACATCCAACGTTTTCGGTCTTATAGCATCGGTGTCGTTGCGCGCGCATCTAGGTCTGCACAGTATGGTGGGAGGTTCAGCTTGCGTTGGCGATGACGTCAGTATCGTTGCGCGCGCCTCTATCATGAGGAGAGGGGTGGAAGGCGTGGCCTTAACAACCCGAAAAACCATAGTACTTTAAATATCAACACGGGCATTGAAAGCCTTAAAACCACCGTTCTATAATTTATTTCAGAGACAAGAATGTCTCCAATCAACTTATGGGACAGATTCGCCTTTTGCTTTTCAAACTTGTCAGTTTACAGGGCCATAGTAGGATTTAAAAGTCCTGTATATATTTGCCGTACACTTTCTGCAAGTGTAGGTTGTGGAAATTTTATTGCAAATGCATCTTTAAGAGAGTAAAAACACCATCGAAATTGCTTTTGCTACATTGCTACAACTATCGGGACAAGTAAAGCGCGTGGTGTTCTAGTAAGTGGTTTACTAGAAGCAGAGTTTTACAAGTCATTTTGGCTCGAGCAAGGAATTTAATAAATACTACAGTTACTAATGTTTTTTATGATTAACGAATCTAGATACTATTGCGTCAATATCGGGTACTAGAATGCTGTCTAATAAAATTACAAGTTACACCTATCTATGCCAAAGTCAATGGACGGGGGGGCAGATCCTTGCTAACGCAGTGGTACTAAAAAAGTCAACTTTCACAGTCATATTTATAGTAATAATTAATTTTTGACTGCTAATTTTTTAGTACCTAAATATAGATGATTCCAAAGACTAATAACAATATTTACAGTGTGCTTACATGTTCATAATATCAGTTTGAAATAAGTCTTGCAATTTTATTTTTAAAGCTATGTTTCTGAGAGAATATCGTGTATAATAATATTTTTTAATTTTATTTTAATGCAGCTCTATAACCATTTTAAGTGACAGTTAATTTGGATAAACCCATTTCTAGTTTCAATAAATTAGCTAAAAAATTGGCGACAATAGAACTGCTTTGAATTTACTGGACAACATTGGGAATTATTTAATATTTATGTACCAATTTGTTTTTATTTTACGTATTTCAAAAATAAGTTTCATATTTAAAAATCAAAAGATAATTCTGTTTTTGTTCGATTCATTGATAAAACAAGTAAACATTTTGAATGTTTCATATTCATCTGTTACAATTTTATATTATAAAATATTAATATTTTATATTACGACCCCGGTCTCAGGTTTTTCTTTTAGCTGTTTCAGGCGGTTAATTGGCTAATGCTCGAAATGTATTTAACAACGTTGCATTTCCCATCATATAAAATACAATTAGTTTTAGGAGATGTACTAATTACATTTGTAATTGTAAAACAGGACAGTATGTCTTTTGTATATTGACATCATTATTACTGTTTTTTATTATATTTGCTTACTGCCTCATTAGTCTTTAATTTGATTTTCCATATTTTTTCGTTCTTAAGATAGTAAAATGATCATAATTGTTGCCCTGCAGTATTGAGCAATACCTTTTTAACTTGCTACAGTTGAAGAATATAGCCAAAAAATATGTATATTGAGAGCTTTCCTGTGAAGTAATTTTAAATTAGCACAATAGGTGTCGCCTCCTTCCTTGTTCTCGTTTGCAGTTTACTGTTATCATGATTTATTGTAATTTTAAAAGTTGGTAGCTTTAAATTTGAACAATGAATTGGCCAATTTATTGAAACATATAAAGAGGCGGCCAATACAGTTTTTCGGACAATTTTTTGAACAAATTACACAGACCACCAAAATTTAACTTTTTTTGGAAGCAGAAACTTGAATATATATTTCTGAACGATTTAGATGCGCTGAATTCGAATCTGGCAGCAGAATTGCTCTATCACGTCAGGTTTTTGAGATATCCTAACCTAAAAGTGCAAAAAACACTGTTTTTCGTCATATTTGAGGTTTTGTAGTAATGCCATCTATTCTTTTTCAAAAAACTAATACATTGAATCTAAAAGTACAAGGCTCCCTCCTTCGAATGCCGTTGAGTTTGCTCAAATATCTTTTTTTTTCGTTGAGATATCACAAGTTGAAATTTCTAAGTTTATCAGTTTCTTAATATGCGAAAATCTACTAAGGATCCCTTAGACGTCAAACAGTTGATTGCAGTTCAGAAACTTCATACTCAGAAACCTTCAATACATACGAACTCAAACTCACAAACTCCAAATCCACAAACCCACAAACCCCAAACCCACAATCCCTAAACCCACAAACCCCAATCCCACAAAACCCGAACCTACAAACTCCAAGCTTACAAACCCCAAGCCCACCAACTCCAAACCCACAAACCGTATGGGTATGAAGTTTCTGAATTGCAATCGACTGCTTGATGTCTAAGGCATCCTTAGTAGATTTTCGCATATTAAGAAACTGATAAACTTAGAAATTTCAACATGTGATATCTCCACGAAAAAAAAAGATATTTGAGCAAACTCAACGGCATTCGAAAGAGGGAGCCTTACACTTTTAAATTATATGTATTTTTTTTTTAAAAGAATAGATGGCATTACTACATAACCTCAAATATGACGAAAAACAGTGTTTTTGCACTTTTAGGTTAGGATATCTCAAAAACCTGACGTGGTAGAGCAATTCTGCGGCCAGATTCGGATTCAGCGCACCAAAATCCTTCGGGAATGCATATTAGTGTGTCTGTGTTATTAGACAAAAATACAAAACTATTTTTATGCACGAACTTCAGAAACTCAATGGTTTTTAGACAGTTTAAAAATAAAAAAAATAGTTCCCATTTTCACAAAAACTTTTTCTTTAATATAAATTTGTCTATCTGTTTATTTTCCATAGTGATGCTAAAGTACAGTTGTCAAGAAATTAGTTTTTTTTGCTTTTTTTATGAAATATTTGTTATTATTCTTTGGGCAGCACTACGCAGGTTTAGCGAAATGTCCACTTAATGATCACTAAAACCCTACCAATTTGAGTGCTCCATACAAGAGGATTGTGCCAGACATTGCTATAAAATTGTATATTATTTACCTAATAAAGTATTTCTTGTTATTAAATCCTCCATAGTACAAAATGTATAAATAAATAATGTATTAGTTCTCAGTTCTAGCAACTAATGATCATGGAACAACATGAAATTTATGTGCGCTGCTATAGGCAATATGACTAGGATAAGCAAATTGCGATGGTGTAGACAGAGAGTGATGGGGTGATAGTTTGGGGGGGTGAGTGAACTTAGCATGCTTACCTCCATGATCGCTAGCGCCACTCTGCCTTCCTGCTGCTTGTTCGATGATATCGTTCAATACCATGACATCTGCAGAAAGAAGATTATCGTTTTTAAATGAAAAAACAAGATTTATCTTCTTTCTTACCTTTCATGTCAACAACTGTCTGTCTCTGGTTGCAATCAATAAATGGATTGTCGAGGTGCTTCAGCTTTCCTTCGGAAATCTGTCCCGTGGGCCCGTCCTGTTTCAAAATTATATTAAAAAACAATTCGTCCAACCGGCACTAAATTAGAAGTACTGAATGAACTTACGTAGTCTCCTCTGTGGGGTCGATGCGTGAACTCTGTAAAATTATTCGCAGCTGCCGGTCCATTTCTCATTGATCGGCACCTGAGCTGGCTTTCCTTGGTCATGCCTTTTCCATTTCCACCCAGTAAGTCCCCGTGAGAAGTGTATGACATCCGAGAAGCGTGCGAGGTGTACGATGAGTGACGTGACCCTGATTCAGATTCGTATATATATGATCATATCTGTAGCTGCAACCGGAGATTTCTAAAAATACTGATAAATTTTCAAACTCCAAAATTTTCCGTCCCCTACCACCACATTATTTTTAAAAATCAATCCAGGGTTCTAGTGCGTCACATTTATTGTAACTGTCTGTCTGGAAAACACATTGCTGTCGAAAAGCAGCAGATAATTTTTTTATTTAACTTGATAAGTGAAGTGTGTACAACTGTGTGGAATTGCACTTAGATTTTTGTGTTAATTTCTACAATTCTGTTTCAGAACGTCACGTCAGAGAATTTGCCTGCATTTAAGAAATCTCCATTGCACTAGAGAGGTGGTGTGCGTGTGAGGTGTAGGTACGTACCCAGATTGGCGTAGTAAATGGGAACGACCATGGCTCCGTTCTCTTCGCTCATCGGTGTGACGGCATTGGAATCGTCAGCATAAGGTAGGTGTTCCTGGGCATCAAGATAGGTGGACAGAACCAGTGGCTTGCGGTCACCAGGTGGTGCCACCATTCGCCGATTGTTACGTAACGTGAACTGGTGGCTACCTCTGGAGCCACGCCGCAGATTGAACGGGGATCCAGGTAGACTGAGACTTGCCTGAACACGGGACATGGTCTATACATGCGTGACGTGTATAATTCTATTTGTTTTTGAGGTGGAAGGGCAGCTTTTCCTGCCCCCTCATCCAATGTAAGAATTCCAGTTGTCCGTAGTATCCACATCAAATTTCAACATTACCGAACGAATTAAATTTATCAACAGTAAATTGAATTCACGGCAGGTGCTTGGTTAGATTTCGTACATTGCAGATGATTGGACAGTACTTAATGATTGTCAGAAACATACTTGAATTATTTGAATGCATATATTTGTTAGGTTAACTTTCTTCTTGCATGTTTCGGACAATGTATAGAGCCCTGGCCATGTCACGTGTTATGCTAAATATGCATGGGGGCTGGCAAAATAAAATATAAAGGTATCTACTTACTATTTCTAATTAAAAGTGGCGAACGAAAAATACTCAAAAATGGATAGCGACAACTAAAAGTAAAGTGCATGGCATTTGTTCAACACTGATCCACCGAACCAATGCCTAACAAATGAAGTCTAAACACTATAATTGTCATGATTTTTATTTCTAGTTCAGTTCTCGATTTTATTTTTGTAGATTTTCGTTACCATACTTAAATTCCCTTTTTGATTTCTCACTCCGGACGGTTGTAAGCGACAAACGTAAACTTTCATACATATATTATGTCATTCCTCAAAATAAAATTCCCAATTGCGCCTGAATCGAATTTTTTATTTATTTTTTCAGATAGGTAAAGTATAATATATACATGAAATATATTTTTTCTAGCTTACGTGTGTGCCAGTCAACCCTCAAAGTAAGAGTCAAAAAAGGCAATGATTTGAGAGAATTTTATAAGCAACATTTAAAATTTTTCTAATCTCAAATGGGGTCCAATAAATATCAGGACACTTACAGCGCTGACTTTCCGCATCTTGGTGGGATTAGTAGGAATTCTTCTCTGCTCACTCACAGAATCTAATCCTTCTGATCGAATGCTCATCTTCTCCTTGTTGTTGTCATCGTGGCCTTTTGCCCCGACAAAGAGTTCGTAGCTGGCACAGGAGAAGTCGGAAGGCGACTTGACTATGTCTGGTCCTGCCTCTGCAGCTAGGGAAGCTTGTAGTGCTGCCTGACGTGACTCTTCTGCCGCTGCTGCCCTCGCTTCTGCTCTGTCTTGCTTCGCCTGTGCTGCCCTCTCTGCTTCCTAGAAATTTAACTCAGATCAGTCCTGCTCGCTGACCGTCTCTTATCGTTAAAGAAAATTCATAGACTCTGTTTGTATATTTACAAATTAGATGTAGCGTATTATTTATAAAGTACCCTGATTGCTTCCTCTTCGGCCGCTTCTTCTTCCTCCGCTTTCTTCTGCAGTTCATCATAAGACATAGCGACGATAGCCAATATCAAATTAACTAAATAAAAGGATCCTAAAAATATGATGACGATAAAAAACAACATGTGCCATGGACCAGCTGATCGCAGCACCTAAAACATTCGTGTTTATTTAGACTAATAAACGTTACGATATCGTCGCACGTACCAGCTGATATAAATTTTCCCAATAGTCCTGAGTCATTAATCTAAAGGCAGAAAGAAAGGCCCATCCAAACGTATCGAAACTAGTATAGCCGTAATTTGGATTTTCACCGTAACCTTGCAGACAGGTGTAACCGGGTTTACACTGCCCAGCACCAGAGGAGTTCCCGCACAAGGGAATTTCGCCTTTGTCCGGATCAAAGAACCAGTTGGCTAAAAAACATTTAATTGAACGCACGAACCTAAACATCCGCATTGACTTACTCTCGTTACTAACGAATCTCTCCCAGTTTTCATCGGTGAGATTTCCCCAAGAACCGTCGTTGGGAAAGTTTTTGATGCATTTCTGCGTAAGGACACCCATGTAAATTTGTAAACCCATAAGTGCAAAAACGGAAAGGGAAAACATTGTTAAAATTATCACATCACGTAGATTTTTTACAGACTCGATAACAGCTCCAACAATAGTCTTCAAACCTAGAAAATTGCTTAGTTAATACTGCGGTACCTATAGAATAATATTAATATGTCGCAAATGATTGGATTATGATTGGAAATGAAGCAGAATAAAAGAAATTTGCTGCAATCTTGAAAAAAACTCCTTAATTTCATAAAGTACTTCTAAAAGTTTCATTTTTGTACATGAAAAATGTAATGGCTGTGTTAAAAACAACTGCATTTGTGTATTTTCATTTGTTTCTGACATTATTTTCATTGTAACAAACATATCGTAAACAAAAACAATATCGTAACAAAGTAAGTTGTTACTTTAAAATTGATACAGTTACAAGTATGACGATTTTTCAGTGTATATGTCTATATTAACAGATAATCTTAATTTTATAAAGTATTTTTGAATTGTTCATTTTTAGATAAGATAAGTGTTATGGCTGTGTTAAAAACAACTGCATTTGTTTCCAATACCTGACATTTGTTATAACAGAGAATGCTGTAAATCAATATTTTTAAAATTCACTGTAACAGTTACAAAAAAGACAGTTTTTTTGTAACAATCTGTCTTAAAAGATAATCTTAATTTTATAAAATATTTTAATTTTTTGACATGAAAAAACAACTTTGTTAAAAACAACTGCATTTACACGTGTTTATTTGTTTCTAACATTTGATAAAATATAGATAGATACAGTATACTGCAAACTGATATTGTTAAAATTTACTGTAACAGTTATAAAAAGATAGTTTTTTAGTGTAACAATTTATCTATAAAAACAACTACTTTTGTTTAAACTATGAAAACTATAAAATATAAAAAGCAGGTTTATTAAATAGCAGCAGTGGATTTAATCAAACTGTTTTTGCATCGTTTAGAAGTGTTAGTGACAGTCCTTTAAAGTAACACCCTTCGAACAAAGTGATTTAGCGAAAGTACTTACCGGGTACAATAGCAACAGTTTTTAGAGCTCGAAGTACCCTAAACGTTCTTAAGGCAGCAAGATTTCCAAGGTCTATACCCATTGTAACATAACTGGAAATGCAGGACAGTTAAATATGCAACATGGTTTGACAGTTTGCATCTAAAAATTCACTAAAAGCTTTTGTAAATATAATGTTTTCAACTAATTTTCCACATTATACAAGACAACACATTTTACACCATAATGCATATAATTTTGTAACAATATAGTTTTTATATACTAGGGTATGCTAACTAGATAGGAATCTATTTTAATATATGCTAACTGATTATAGTTCTAACTATTCTATTGTAATTTTTGGTGGTCTAACGTTTTGGTACATATATAGTATTTTCTAAAACAATATAACTACTTATTTCATCCTACAACCATGAAGACAACTGCAGTCACAATAAACTCACTTGAAGTATTTTTTTATTGCAATTAGCCAATATTACAAACACTGTTTAAAGCCAATAAGAAAATAATTATACAGCTGTGGAAATAAACGTAATATTAGGTACAATAATAATAATTTTCTATAGAGAAATAAAGGAGGGCTGGGTGAATTGGTTTTGTAAGAACCAGAATTTGAAAATTTCGTAGCTAATCTTATGTAGCAGGTCTGCATTCTTACGTTTGTCCATTTCATGCTCCATTTTTTTCAGAAGCTAGTAAATTCAAGGCCAATAGACTTGCTTAGATTAATTTTTACCCATAAACACCGAATTTGGAAAATAAATATATGACAATATTTTTAAGATACCTCTCCATTTTTCCATGTTTAGGATCTCAAAATTTTATGTTCCCAAATTTATTTAAAAAAATTTAACTTCGTTATTGGCAGTAACTTTTTTCTGTTCTCGTCATGGACAAAATGCTTTAGACCGCTTTAATCTGAAAGAATTATTTAAAATTCGTGTGTCTATATGAACAAGAAATGTGTTATGTGTGGTCTATAATTCTCTGAATCTATAGAAACGGTTTTATAACAGGGGCTTTCAATAACAGGGTATTTGAAAAATAATGCGCTCAGTGTCAAGTAACAAGGTGTATGTAGTTTCAGTTTTTAAACAATGCTCGAAAGCTTGATAAATGTAAATTTTAACTTTTACCACATCGTATATAAACCAGTAATTCCACTCCGCTCTCACTGATCTTTTTCAACCGGATTGGATGACCTTGGATAAAGAGCTGATAACGCAGCCACACACACAAAAAAAGTTGTTTGTACTTTTCATGCAACATATGTTATCCGTAGTATTCCTGTTCACGAATTCGGTGTCAGAATTGAGCTATCACATCACAGGAACTTCCTAACCTCAAAAAACAGGTCAAAAATAGCAAAAATTCACGAAAAAGTGCTAGGAAAATACGAAAATTTTTTTTCTATATTCAAATGTTCATTTATATATATATTAAGACCCCGCCGAATGTGAATCCGCGGTCAAAATTGACGGTTCTTTTTCTAACCTCAAAAAAAAAAACATGTCAATTAAGGTCAGATATCACGAATTTTCAGAAAATAACATTACGCGCCAATTTTGGTATACAGAGGTTCTCGGGTTGCTGATCATGGATCCGAGGTCAATTTTGCAAAATTCAAGATGGCGGATCAAATATGACTACAAATTTTAAAAAAATAACATTCGTGTCAAATTTGGTATACGGGGGTTTCGGGGTCGCTGATCACAAATCCGAGGTCAGAATTATTGCGAAATTCATTTTGCAATATTTTTGTTTACTTTATAACATGAGTACCCTAACATTTTTTAACCTTTTTAAAGTACATAGGTAATTGATTAAATATTTAAAAACGAATTTTGTAAATCTGATCTTGGATTCGTGATCAGTGACCCCGAAAACCCCCGTATACCAAGTTTGGCGCGAATGTGTTATTTCTTGAAAATTTGTTCGGCCATCTTGGATCCGCCATCTTGAATTTTGCAAAATTGACCTCGGATCCGTGATCAGCGATCCAGAAAACCCCCGTATACCAAATTTGGCGCGAATCTGTTATTTTTTGAATATTCGTGACATCTGACTTTAATTGATCCGTTTTTTTAGGTTAGAAAAAGAACCATCAATTCCGACCGCGGATTCACGTTCGGCGGGATCTTAACCATATAAATAAAAATTTGAATATATAAAAAAATTTTTCTACTCTTCCTAGCGTTTTTTCGTGAATTTTTTTATTTTTGACCTGTTTTTTGAGGTTAGGAAGTTCATGTGATGTGATAGCCCAATTCTGATACCGGATTCGTGATCAGGAGGCAAAAATACTGCGGATAACATCTGTCGCATGAAAAGTACAGACAACTTTTTTGTGTGTGTGGCTGTGTAATCAAAACAGTAGTAACAATTTTTTTAGTTACACATCTAAGCATATTAGAACATAATGATGGTAATATAGTCCAATTAACTAAGCCTTTAAATCGAAATTTTCCCAACTTGGCTGAATTTTTGATATGAGTTAGTTTAAGGTATATTATAACAATAAGTGAGAGTAATTTTTTGTTCAACCCCCGGCCAAGGGTGGAAAAAGATAAAACAAAGGGCTTTTTCAAGATAACTCAAAAAGGGTAAGAGCTAGAAAAAAAAGTTTTTCATGAAAGTTGTAAAGCAGACAATTCTACATAAAAATGGTCTCTTAGCTTTTTCTTGTACTATTAAAATTAACAGAGTTAGGGAGGCTAGAAGTTAAGGGAAGATTTCAGAAATTTAATTTTGTTAAATCATTAAAATTAACGATTAAAAATTTGATTTTTTGTTATAACTTTCTTATTAAAAATTAAAAAATATATCTATTTCTCTGAAAAGAAAAGTTACATATTTTAGAGCAGATTGAAAAAAAAAATTACAAAATTCAATCATTTTTCTGTTTGTTATGATTTTTTTTAAATTTCTGAAATCTTCCCTTAACTTCTAGCCTCCCTAACTCTGTTAATTGTAATAGTACAAGAAAAAGTTAAGAGGCCATTTTTATGTAGAATTGTCTGCTTTACAACTTTCATGAAAAACTTTTTTTTCTAGCTCTTACCCTTTTTAAGTTATCTTTAAAAACCCCTTTGTTTTATCTTTTTCCACCCTTGGCCGGGGGTTGAACAAAAAATTACTCTCACTTATTGTTATAATATACCTTAAACTAACTCATATCAAAAATTCAGCCAAGTTGACAAAATTTCGATTTAAAGGCTTAGTTAATTGGACTAATAAACACGTATATAATTTAAAATACCCTCATCTGTAAATGATGATTGATGTAAAAAATTGCAATCCATTTTTGTCTGGAACGGTGTATTTTTAAGGAAAAAATAAACATTGATATTCGGCAGCCCCAAAAAAATCGTCCATATGAATTCTCATTCTTAAAATTTCTGAAAAAGAATAAAATAAAAACATTTTTGTAGGCCTGCAGCTTTTCAAGGAAGCAATAAGATCATCTAAATAATTCGAAATGAGCCCTTTTGCTTGTATTAGCTGGTTTATATAAGCTGTGCTTTTGCCATTATTTTTCTTTTGCTAGTGTTTTAGCAGTGCCCTAAAAACGGTTCATTTTGTCACACGTTTGACCAAGTCGATTTCATTAGGAGAATCCGTTGTTAGAACATCGCATATGGACTATGTGTAAATTTAATTGTGTATTGTAAAACTAATAAAACGTAAATCGGGACTGAGTGATCTAATCTATATTAATCATCTATTCTCTAAAACTAAGCTACTCACGCTAAAGCTATGACTACGAAGTCGAGCCAGTTCCATGCATCTCTAAGGTAGGTGAACGGTTGAAGAATAAAACCTCTCGCCATCACCTTCACAGCTGATTCGAACGTGTAGATTCCCGTGAAAATCACTCTGGAAATAACACATTTTCACAGAATCCATCGTGTTAAATATACGGTACTTCTACTGAAACTCTGTTCGAAAGCTATTCTCACACCACAAAAAATTTATGATACTGGTGTTTGAGAGATCTCTATTTAAAATTTGGCTCAGGAATAGCTTTTCCAACAAAGCTTTTGCGAAAATCTGTGTACTTACTCGGTTGACTCTACGGTGGGAGTTGTAGGCATGGTCATAAGGATACAGTTGACAAGGATTGTAGTGATAATGAAGAGGGAAAATAAAGGATGTACAAGAATGTAAATGGCCACCCGTCGAATTGGGTTAAATGGATCGAGAATCCAAAGAGCATTTGTTGCACTAAATCGAAATATGTCCTTGCCTTTACTTACAACTACAAAAGTCTGAAACAAAGATGCAAAGATTTATAATTAAAGACTTATCATACATCCATTTCTGTAGTGAAATGTTAGAACCTAGGTGAAAATTACAATACTCGCAATAATTGATAGTTTTCACCTAAGGATTTGCAATCAATGTAAAATAAAATTCAAGTGGTTTTCTCGATAGGCCCTAAGTGACCTGACATCTTACCATTTGGTTATGGTAAAAAGGGTCGATGTCTTCAAGCGGCGTACTGGCCAGTTCTGGAGGAAAGCTGCCTTGGAGACGTACCGGTATTGGCAGGCCCTGCTCCAAAGTAGCGTCCGGTTGGGGGCCTTCATCTTCGTCCTCGTCCTCATACCGAATCTACGATACATCGGTCACTTTAAGCTTCTGACACTCTCTTCATATTGTTAGTTTTAACATCTGTACATCTTTGATCAGGCATACGTTAATATTTAACAATTTACTATGGCTCAACTCGCTGAAGTGCTTGAGAACTCCTCAAGCACCTGGACGAAGTGCTTAAACTCCACAATAGCCTAAAAACCCTAACAGAAGCACTTGAAATCCACATTTGCTCAAGCACCTAGTCAAAATGCTTGAGCATCACAATTACTTAAGCACCTAGTCGAAGTTCATGGAGTTCTTGTGCTGCCAAAACGCCGTATAAAGTTTCTTGAGGCGTCAAAAATGTTAAGCGCTCTTTGAAAGTGATGGACAATAATGGTACACAATTTCAAACACTTCAGGCCTGCCACACACCAAAGTAAGATGAAATAGTTATTATAACTCAAGGAATTTTTAGTTTAAAATGAAGGTACTGATGAATTTGCAATTAATTTTCATTTTGTGAGTCAAATAAGCACGCGAATTTAGCAAATTATTAAATATCTATTTACGCTTATCCAAGGTCTACAGATATTGAAGAAAGCGTAGAAAAAGTCCTTTAAAACTCTTTTAAATTTAATTCACCTACATTTAGACTTGCAGAAGTACCTAGTTGCATTCAATTTTGGTATTTGGGATATAGGAATTTCCCGAAATGCAAGAAATTTAATTCTTCTTAAGTTCTTAATAATACTAGCAACATTGCTTCCCAATTGAAACAATTATCAAAGATTTCCTCATTTCGAGCAAGTGATTGTCTCTCACTTTGAATATAACAATTATTTATTGATACTGACAGTTTTGTAAAAGTTTCAATTGTTAAGCAGTTTGTTTTCCTTTTAATACAACTAGTTCAGCTGGATGTACTATACATCTGCAAAACGCATTTTAAGTGTCTATCAATGTGCAAGTGTCAAGTGAGTATAAGCCTCCAGGGGAAAGTGGTCCCCTCTAAATATGGTGCCGATTATTGAATTGGTCTACCCCAAAATTGTACCAAATTTTACAATTCTTCCAAAATCAAATTTTGTTTAATACTTTTCTGTAAAATGAGTTCAGTAAATGTAAATGTTTTTTTTTACTTGGACACAAACACTAGTAAACAGTACTTTTTTAATTTTTTTTTATAGTTTATCTTTTTTGGTAGATTTCAGGTTGAAATCTGTAAGTATGTCGTTGTTTAAGCGTGTGCTTTGTATAAGGAAAAAATAAACATATGTTTGTCAAAGTAGATTATTGTAGAAAATATATCTAAATGCAACATGCAAAATTTATATTTTAAGACCATACTGAGGGTTTTCCAATTGTTAATATTACTGAAACTCGGTATTGATAATTATTAATTATTGTATCAAAAAATCAAGTATAGACTTTGTCTTTTCTAAAACCATGCAGTGTATATTTCTGTCTATACTTAGAACTTGTTGAAATTGAGATTTCAATAAATTTGAGAAATTTATTATTACTTCTTTGGAATAATATAAAATATACAAAATATTAAGATTAACTGTTTTTTTATATTGAGTAAAACGAATACAGTGTTAGATGTATTATGTTCCTGGCTATCTACCCAAAGTATGGCAGTCATACCTAATAAGCGGGGTTGAACTTGCTTACTAACATTCACAACAGTAGTTAAACTCTAAAGAAACTATCTACTGCTGAAAATTTACAGAAAAACTCTTAAAATTATATAATCATACATTGTGCCGAGAAAAAACCAGCAAAAGTCTTTGTATGGTATACTTTTAAATAAAAAATCGTAGTGTAAATGTAGCCATAAATAGATGTCATTAAATTAGCGAAAAAAATGTTTCATTGAATAAGTGATTGATTTCATAAATATGTGAAAAATGACAATGACATTTATCGCTGCATTTTTGTGGCGCTATAGTAGACAGTTCTCTCAGTGTAATAAACATTATCCGCCATGTTGGGATCAGATTTAAGTGTGTGTTCTGGTGAAAGAGTATAAACTAGAAGTGTAAAGCATTGCCTCACTAGCGTTAAATGCAAATCGCTCTATTCAAGCAGTAACAGAAACAAAGCATTATCCTCAGATGCTACTGACGATATAAGAAGAAAAGACGAAGGAAACGCAAGAAAACAGGGTTATATTGTTTGCCATAAATGCATGGCGTTCCCCAACAGAATTTGGAAAAATCGTCAGAGGCATTAGTCAGCTAAAAAGCAACTCTGTTTGAGCATTTTTATTGGAGAAATCTTACTTCTTTTTTCTTTTTCCTGCGTCCAAAACCGGTCTGCAATAAAGGTCAGATGGTTTAACATTGATAAGCACATAACATTGCTTCAAGTAGCTACACTACATCACACGGTTTAGGTGGTTACAAGTCACAGTAAGGGAATGGTAAATTTTAACGCTGCGTATTGAACTGAAGACAAAATTCAAAATATACGTCCACTTCAAAAAATAAAAACTAAAATGATAGAAAACACAATTTTAAAAATTAAAATAATATGTATTAAAAATAAAGTCTGTTTTATCGATAGGAAAGTGTTTCGATTCCCTTTTCTTTTTAGTTCCTCGCGACGTTGGTGAATTGCGTTCCAATGTTTTCCTTACTGTGACAGAACCACATAATAAAACCAAAATAGCTAAGAGGGACTGGTGATGTTTATGACATGATAATGTAATCATTTAACCGTGGTATGAACAACAAAAAAATGACGCGGTTGACAGTAACACAAAAAGAAAGCGCCACAGCTAACTTTTCTTTTCCGTTTCTTCAAATGACCGCCAATAAGGGTATAGCCTCTCTATGTAATATTAGTTGTGTGATACATAACTCTGATGAAACTTACTATACATGTATACATAGACATGCAGTTTTCAAGCATTGGTTACATACATAGAATCCTTGGAAAAATAAATAAAAGTATTTGTATATATACACACACAGAAAAATAATCAAGTGTAGGTACCCATTACAAAAATCTAGTAAAAAAACTACATTTTCTGCTAAGTTTTATGTTCTTTATTTAAGTTTGTTGGGGTACGTTTATTTATATTAATACTGATGTATAAGACACATCTCGCAGTAATAATATAAATAAATAATGTTTGGCATGTAAAAATTCAGTCAGTACATGTACACATCAATATTTTATCAAAATATTCGGCGTTAAAGTATCACAGGCGTCAAATTGTACCAAGAATCATAATTATTATTTTAGCCAGTTATATGCACACATGACATTCTACTCTCTTAAGCACTGCATTGAAAAACAGCAGTTTGATCGATTTTAACTGACATTTAAAAAGCTTACAATTAAAATCATTAGGGTGAATTATTTACCACTCATATCACTCGCCGGAGATCTCTACACCATGCAAGTTGGTGTTTACTTACATATGCATGATTTTTTCATTAGTTAATTACCAAGTATCAAACAGTTTCTAATAGCAGCTATACACGTAACGATAAATCGCAGCAGCGCTGTCCATTGAAAACTGTTTTGGATTGCTTTAAACTATTACAGCTTTCAATTGCTTGTTTGTTTTCTTATTCTTCATTTTCTTTTTTACAGGTAGGTAAAAATGCAGGAAATGGTAGGGTTACATTTCAGTTCAATGGAAATGTCGATGAACTACTGAAAAATTCTGGTAAGAAATTTTTTTTTTCAATATTCTAGAACGTCGTTTTAGATTCGTGCCAAATAAACCGGTCGTTATGAACTGCTTATAAAAATAAGACAATTATACTAATTTTTTGCGTTGACAATTCAGGTAACTTAATTAAAATCGTTATTCGTTAAATATAACTGTTTTATATAGTTATGATCTAATGTATCAGATTACATCACTTTTTAAATACACGAATCTCTCAACCCTGCCATAAAAGTCGGAATTGACTATTAAAATTGTCACGAAACATGAATCAAACTTAAAAAAGATACCCCGTTGAATATTAATGTTTCCCCGTTTGGATAAATAAATTATATTGTTGACAGAAATGAATTTGGACATCATACGAACATTACTCTGTATATCATCAGTTCTGACTATAAAATCAATGTAAAATTAGGTTATGTGCTTTTAAAACATACACACTTATTTTGTCCTAAAATTTCATTAAGGAGGTTTATCTGATTTGGAATTGACGAACAAATATTCATAAAGAAATTAATATAAGCTTATTAATATGAAGAAAATCCTCAAAAAAAATTATGACTAGTTTGGATACCTAAGAGACGAGATATTAATAAAATAATTTTTCACGATTTAGTACAGTCTTATGAGAATGCAGATTTTTTTGGTCTTTCCACTTAGAATACGCAACAATTGACGAACAGTTTCCACAGCAACTTGTATAAATAGGAAACCGATATCTAAGGAACCGTATGACAGCTTGTAGAAATCGATTAGGTACTTGTAAGATACATAATTTATAATAATTCTCCTTCAAACTGCTGTCGTGACTAACTTATCCTCCATATGCGTGATAGCGGCAACGCCGCGGTCTCGACGTAGCGTATTATTTGAAATTCGCAGGTGTCCAAACAAATAGAATGATCGAACGGAAGAGAGCAAACGCCGAGCAGAGCGCACTAGCCAAGTGCAACGTTGCCAAATCTAAAGGTTTAGTACTTTAGTCGCTAGCTAATCTACAGAAACTTTCGTTAGACTTTAGACGTACCCGATAAACCTCCTTTAAGGAGGTTTATGGGGTACGGAGGTACCCTCGGCGTTCGCTCGCTCGCGTTCGATCATTCTGTTTGCTTGGACACCTGCAAATTTCAAATAATACGCTACGCAGAGACCGTGGCGTTGCCGCTATCACGCATATGGAGGATACGTTAGTCAACGACAGCAGTTTGAGGGAGAATTATTATAAATTATGGTTATTATTATGTTACAAGTACCTAACCGATTTCTACGAGCTATCATACGGTTCCTTAGATATCGGTTTCCTATTTATGCATGTTGCTGTGGTAACTGTTCGTCAATTGTTGCGCATTCTAAGTGGAAAGACCAAAAAAATCTGCATTCTCTTAAGACTTCGTACTAAATCATGAAAAGTTATTTTATTAATATCTCGTCTCTTAAGTATCCAAACTAGTCATAATTTTGTTTGAGGATTTTCTTCATATTAATTAGCTTATATTATTTTTTTTATGAATATTTGTTTGTCAATTCCAAATCAGATAAACCTCCTTAATATATTTGTAGTTTATTGGTAAAAATATTAACAGTTCTTTATAATTTTACTGAAATAAGTTATAAACTAATATTTTAGTCAAATATAACATTAACAAAAAGTTATGCGTATTGTTTCTAAATTTAACAACCTTCCGAATTTTCAAATAGACAAAAACAAGCTTATTACAACCAGTCTGTACTGACTCTTGTCCGCTGAGAAAATATTCGATTAAAATATAAAAATTGTCTAACATCTTTGATACTCACATCATTGGATTTGATCCTTTCGTGAACCATTCAAGCCGGTAGAGAATTATAGTTTGATTTTACGATACTTGGTACATGACTATACTTTTAGCAATTTTGATAAAAAAATTGGTGCCTCGATTAATCAGAACACAACCAAAAAAATAAAGTAACTCGAGTCGTGAAGTGAAGAAATGAAGAGGTATGATAGGTTTTCGGAACGTTAAATACCTCTCCTTCAGCTCTTTTCTTTTCGAGCTCCTTCTGCTTGGCATGCTCTTCCGCGATTCTAGCCTCGATCGCCGCAAGTGACTCGCGTGTGAATGGACGGAATAGGCTGACCTCCTCCTCAGAGAATGAATCAGAGGCGACGGACATGTCTCCTCACGCCTAGGCCCCCACGATACCCTGGAAATAAAAAAAAACAGACATGAAATAAACATACAAAATAAAAAACACCTAAAGGGGGTTTAAACTAAATTAACAAAACGCATTCCAAAATTAACCATCCGACAGTTAATTTTGCACTCCGTTTGTTGATATACTAGAGTTCCAAAATAATAGGCAGCAAGTCTTATAAATAAAACAATCTTCTATCTTTGCTTATCGTGTACAAAAAAGAGAGATGACGAGCGCTGCATGGTTTCATTGCTCGGTGTATCAGTTTCCAGCTTAACCCTTCCGTTTCGTGTCATGTGCGCGCAAGTGAGAAAAGCGCGTCATTTTTACATTTTAGTTATTCCATTGTGTTTTCAAATGTGTCAAAAGTGATTGTGATTAAGCAAAAAAGTGAAACACGAGGCAGAACAATGCTTTGCCCGCAGCTGAAATCTACATGTTGAGGATGAGTCACTGCCTACAATTCTGGAACTCTACGTGGTTCAAATTGTTGAAGATAATTTGACAGCTTTAGTGTTATTTACTTTTAACCCATAGGGATTAAATTTACTTTGAATGTTTCATTAAGTGCAAAAACAAATATTTCGAATATTAATATTTCAACTCGCGGAATGCAAAAACATGGGGGTTTACAATGCACGACTAAAGTGCATTTTAATCCTTCGAGTGACTGGCAGGTTTGGATTTAAAAAATGCACTTTAGTCCCATACGTTTAAAGTTATGCAACATGAAAGAGTGCTGTTAACATTAGATATAAACGTACATATGCAGTCGAAATATGCCCATGAAATAATTAATCAAATATGCAATAAAACATTTATGCATACTTAGCACTAATCCGTGCAAGTCAGGACCGTACTTAGGTTTCATTAAGCGTAAATTTAAAATAGAATACAAATTATTTACTTATAGCTCTTTCAATGAAATCAAATTATCGCACAGAAATAAATAAATACCGAGACTTTAAGATACTGTACTGTTTGTTATTTGATATGTTTAACAATGTGTTTTAAGTTCTCGTGAAATATATATAAAACAGGTTTTTGTATGCAGGTCGACCTGACTTCCACGATTTAGCACTAACCCCAATGTGCTACACCAAAGTACATGTGCTTTGAAACTCGCAAAAGACGGACATGTAATAAATATTGCAACAACAGCACATTAAGCTGACATATTTAAAAAAAAAATACAGCTTCGGTGTTAAAGATGTGATTTTTTTTAATACAAATATAATTCGAAATTAATATGTCCAATTATTTTTTTTTTACTTTTGGAGCCACAATTAGATTTTAATATTAAATGAAATACAATCTGGATTTCTCATTTGTATAGCTGTTCTCAGTTGGCCTATGCTGACTTTAAGGTGGGCGTGTGTATATTTTTAGAATTTGGAATACATAGATAGGTAAAGTGATTTAATCAAAGTTGATTGATTTTTTAAAGTGTTTTTGTTGTGGTGCAGAAAAGAATTGGCATCGATTTCATTAAATTGATTATATATTTCCAACGACCTGCATTCGAAAATAAAGTACAGGTCACTCGCTGATAGGTAGTAGACATTCTCTAAAACCATGAGGATACTTCTTAAAAGATATAATTGTAATTATCCAGGGACATACGTATAATTTTCCAGGTCACAACAGTGGCATTCATAGACAGGCGAACGGTTTACTTTACAAAATTATTCTTGTCACAGTGGAACATTTGCCGAATGGCGCATGCGTGCCAGCGCAATGATTATTGCGGAGCTTGACTGACACCTGTCAAAATATTCATTTGGCGCGCGACAATGAATACTCCTGTTAGTATCGTGAACAGTTTCCATGATATTACAAACGTATATTATAGTTTATTTCTAGTTATAAAGGTAAATAAACAATGACCATCTTAAATTTTTCTCCTTGTTATATTTTTACAAACATTTCAATGTAATTTATGAACGAATTTCTAAGTAGAGTTAACAAACATAATGAATACTTTGTAATTGCACAGTGGTAACAATTTTGTAGCAAGTTTTTAGATAAAACAATATTACATAGTAAGGCAATAAAGTGCATCTTTTAATCCTGAGGACAAAGTCAGCTGTATGTTGCATGAGGCTTAAAAAGCACTTTAATCTTTATTTTTTGCACTTATACAACATTTATCAAAACACTTTTGTAACAATTTGAATTAGGTACATTGGTAAATAATTGTTTGTTTCTCATAGTAAATTGAATCCCTCGGTGATTAAAACTGTCACTTTGCTGCCCAACTGGGATTAAAATGGCACTTTCAATACATGAAGTGCAAAAAAACGTTACAAAATGTTATGTTCTTAAATTGTGTTAGCGAATATTTGTTTATTTTTTATAAAAGGATTAAAAGTGACACTGTAACTCCAAGAAAATAAGAATTAAAATAGAAAATAGCACTTTTAATCCACAGTGCAAAAAATAAATTACAAACAAAATCACTGACTGAAATATTTTTCCAATATCGTGAAATTATTAGTTTATCATACTTCACGTTATTGTATCGTGTGACGAATTTGAAACGAAGGAGAGTTTTAAACCACAGACTCAGCGACATAACAAGTATGAAATGTAGCTTCCAATTTGAGAGGAATCCATTTTTTAAAACATAAATATTTCCCAATAAAACGAATACACCTAAAAGGCGGGTATGGATTGGCTAAGGTCGTAAATATCAATCCTTTAGTTCCAATATTTTAGAAATGGATATAATGGGAGTTCCATCGATTCGGAGTACATTGAAAAAATGGGTACAAGAAAATTTTGATCATTTTATAACTGGTATAAAATATATCTAGGAATAAAACTATTGATTATTTCTAGAAGACTGAACTGTGTAAGGTCTGTCGTTCACAGTATTTTTTTAAGAACCGGTGATTATACCAAGACTAGTAGGTATCAGAATCAAAACGAAGCCATAATGCTATAATTTTATTCCTAAAATGTGAATAATTAGAAAACCATTCTAGAACCTTTCAAGAACTCCTTTATTAATTTTAGCTGTTTCAGACGAAATAGCTAAAATTAATCAGTTATTGCATTCATTTTTTTTAAAGGAATTAAAATTAAGTATAAGCATTTTAATCCCTTGGTGATTCCCCCAAATTAGGGAATAAAATAGAACCTTCAATCCACAGAGTGCAAAATTTTTTTTTGTCATGTATTGAAAGCCCTAGATTGTTCTAGAATAGTTCACTTACAAAAATCAATCTAAACTAAGACTAATATGTGTTATACAATTTGTTAAGGAATTTTATATAATGCGTTAATTCTTGAAAAACAACAATCAAATGAGGAACATTTGAGGAATGTTAAGAGTGTCCTGATTTAAAGATGTACAAACTATTATACAAATTTTTGAAAAAAAAATCGATTTTGATTTTATTTTAAGAAAAATATTTGTTTTTTAGTTATATGTTATCGCCTGTATACCTATAAATTGGAACACCCTGTACATATATCCGAAAAAAATGTTTTTGGGAAGTTGATATATTTTTCGGAATTCCCATCATAAATTTCGGTGACATCTAATCCGGTAGAAAAAAACCTAGTTATTGACTTCTACTCGTTACTCTGTAAAACCCGTAGTCTTAGTTATTGATCTGACGCCCACCGTGTTCACTGTAGTATACGGCAATTCAAGCACCGCTTTCTATTAAATTCGTTACTATCGTACACGTTTTTTTTAATGGAATTTTATGTATTATCGTCTGAACCATGGAAACTAGAAAAATACATCGACATTTTATTTTCATTAACATAATAAAGTACCTAAATAATTCTTGACAATGCTACGAAACATTATTTTGTCGTTTTAAATTAGTTAAAGCATTATTGAACGTGCCTGGTGGAGGATAAATTCAAGGGAGTCATATTATTCTATTAGTGCAAGTTCCAGAAATTCCTCTCACCAGGATGCATAGTCATCCTAAACTGCCAGCTGATTGGCCAGTGATTCAGTTAGTCCGCATACCGCAAGCTTCCGCATGTACACGTCCTTTTTATGGACTATCATAGAAAAAATACATCAGTTGTTATGTAAAATATGCGATACGAATTACATATTATTTGTGTATAAAATACATTATAAAATTTTGCTTGCAACTGAGGCATTTAGAAAGAGAATAATTTATCCAATATGTGTTATCAAAAACTATTATCGCTTCTGGTATGTCATATTTAATTCAAATAATAATCAATCTAGCCTCAAGGATTATTATTATTTGGTAGACCGCTTTTGCGCCCAGGAACGACTTACGTTGATAAACCCTAACCACCATTCGGTGCAGGAATGAGGGAAACCTGGAAAACCTCATTAATTAGGGGAATATGCAAAAAAATATATACATAATAGTGATAATTGAGATTGCTGTGCCAATAATAAATAAAGTTAATACCAATTAAATATGCTTTTGAAGAAATAATTTTTGTAATTCATTTTGTTTAAATTATTCTTTACAAATATTTAGAATTTTTATTCATATAATCATTATTCCAACCACAAGGATTAGCGGAGACTTGTGTGATAGGGTGGGTGGCATATAATTATTCGGTAGACCGCATTTGCGCCCAGGAACGACTTACGTTGGTAAACCCTAACCACCATTCGGTGCAGGAATGAGGGAAACCTGGAAAACCTCATTAGTTAGGGGATGGATAAAAAATATATATTTAATAGTGATAATTGAGATTGCTGTGCCAATAATAAATAAAGTTACTTAATATCAATTAAATATGCTTTTGAAGAAATAATTTTTTCAATTCCATTTTGTTTAAATAACATTTTAGAAATATTTAGTATTTTCATTCAAATAATAATCATTCTAACTACAAGGATTAGCCCAGAAGTCGGAGACTTGTGTGACAGGGTGGGCGGCATATTATTCGGTAGACCGTATTTGCGTCCAGGAACGACTTACGCTGATAAACCCTAACCACCATTCGGTGCAGGAATGAGGAAAACCTGGAAAACCTCATTAATTAGGGAGATA